TACAAACTTCAGAGAGATTCAATTACATTATGGCTACGAGTTATAAAATATATAATAAAAATGTGTAACAAAAACTTTATAAAATCTATATGAATGGTATGCTTTCACCGTTATGTTGCAATAACACTAGTCCCATACGCAGACACTTACATTTAGCGGATTGAATTGTATACCGTTAAATAGGCCACACATGGCCTTTATGGCAGTTTGATTTTTCGCATTCTAATCGTCCGTAGATAGGACTTATTAAACCGCCCGATCAACGCTGAATTTATTGCAGCCATACGGCAAATAAATATCTATTCCGATCTACAAACAGCCGGTAATCCACGGGATGAACTGGATTGCACGCCCCGAAGGCTTGTAAATCAGTTGCGATAGCGTTCGACGACAATCGTAACACGCAGGGATTGCTAAACAGTGGTAATCGTAATCCTATTTGAATAATCGTGGTTATCACACTCGCGGCGCCAATTTCATTTTCGTCGGTGAACCCACCTGTTCGAATGCCGGCGAAAAGCGATGGAGATCGATTTAAACCGCCCACGTTGCCCTTCATTAATACGTTATCGAGCGCGAATTCATTTCGATTCATTTCAAGTGCAATTTTTCCGCGTGATCACGAAGCAGCATCGTGTCGGCTGGGCGTTAACTAAGATCGAAGAGCCTCGATTACGCGAAATCTCGTTAAGACCACCGGACGAGAGCATATGTTCGTTTCGACCGCGCGAGGGGAATAGTTATCTGAGTGACATTTAATTTAATTTTTGGTTACGCGAGAATATCGTACGACGAGACTGTTTGCCGAAGCTTTTCCCGTTCTATATTGACACGCACATTAACAACAGGCCGGACGCATGACGGAAAACGACGTCGCCGATGGAATCGCAGGCCACGCGTCATACCTTTATCGAAAAATCCAATTTGTCCGATGAACGAATGGGACACGGAGGGATGGAAGGGGGGGAGAAGCGTAAAACGCTCGACTATATACTAAACGAGAAACAGAGAAACTATACACCGCGGTCGCTCGTGAAAAATTCCATCTCGAATGTCCGCCCACGCTCGAAAATTGCATCGTTCCTTAAAAAACGTCGAGGTACGCAGGGTGTCCAGAAAGGATAGAGGCCGAACATGTTCTATGTGTTATCGGGGTCAAATAGATGAAAAATGTTCAGATAAACCTGTGTCCGGAAATGCTTCATTGAAAAGATATCGTCGTTCAAAATTTATGTAAGCGTTGCTTTATAAAAATGTTGGTTTATAAAAATACGATAGAAACAGAAAATCGATTTTGCGAATGTGCCCAAAATGCATACACTGTTATTTCCAACACGGATGGAACATTTGCAAGAGTTCGATAATCGCTATTTCGTCGAATGAAAGTCTGCATTCTTGCGGCGAGAAGTGTTTTCGTACATTGTTCATAACTTCTCTTTAATACATAGTATAAGTTTGATTCCAAGCTTTGTAGACACCCTGTATATGTATATATCGTCGGTGTTCCATCCGCAAACGCACAAGCAGGATCGTTATCGAGAACATTTAATACACTCGACAAATTGTTTTAGCACGGCCTGTTGACTGAACCCCATATTTTCTGACGCAGATCGTTGCCATTTTTGTGATCATTATACGCAAATAGATGGTCGGCATCGATGAGCCGCCGATAAACATGTTACACATTGGAATATCGATTCCAATATTGCATTTCACGTTCAGCTATTTTATGCCGCAATCACTGAAACCGGCGATTCTGCAAACATCATTATTACTGTTGCGATGCTAATTGCGTGTGAGCCACTCGGAGCGTGCGATGGTGGCGTCATAGTCAGCGGGGAAATAACAACAACTCATAGATTCTTCGAATGGTGAAGTTAGCACTGCTCCGTCCTTCGCTTCGCAGAAATGAACAATGCACTGCGGTTGCAAATCTTCTCCGGAACTCTCCCATGCATTCGTCGTAGAAGTCAGGAAACAAGAAAACAAATTCGAAGTTAAATTAATATTTCATTTGCAGACAATAATTAGATTCTTTATTTAATTAAAAAATCATTTAATTAGAAAACATCAAGATTCGTCTCGCTTGCTCAAAGATCCGGACGGTAATTTGAAAAACTGTATTACAACTACATTGTATTTCAATTACATGATATTTTAATGAAGTTCTATTCCAATTACAATTATATTGCATTTCAATTACATTGTAATGCAATTACGTAAATGAATTACAATGTGATTGAATTGATGCGACTCCGGTTGGTATGATAGTCTCCGAAAGATGGAAGGTCGGATTAAAGGATAGCTCGCCGAAGAGCCAATAAGATTAGGGGATCGACGACAGTGGATCGAGAATCTTTTATTATTAATATAGTTGTCTTTCTCTCCGGACAGTGCTCGGACCGTGTCGTTGGTCGACTCGTTTCGCGGTTTCATCGTTATGTCCATCACGATCTCCGGTGGACACGTGCCCGGAAGAAGGGATTACTCGCGACCGGGCAACAACGTGGTCGTTATCGGGCAATCCTAAAGTTTCGCGGAGTCGTTTTCTCTCCCCCGCGGTTTAACGATCTTAAGATTGCCGGACGGCATCGCTCGGATATCTGTTTCGAGTTGCGCGCGTGGATGTCCCGTTCGACCTACATGCGCTGATGCAGCGGCAACCGAAGGAATAGGTGGGCGGAACGCGCTTTATTTTAAATATAAAGTGGATCGAGGGGGAAACCGCGGTGATTTCGCCCTCGGAAATTACACGGGCCGAGCATTCGGGGATAAATAGCAAATCGATCGAGACATTAGCGGGCCACGATTCGAGCCGGATCGATTTTCTTCGCTCGTTTCGTACCATCTTCGATTTGTATGCGATGCAAGCGTTCCTTACACTAGAAATTCTGTACCGAATGTTATTTTAATATGCTTGTGATAGATTCTGGATATTCGCAAGGAAATCGTCCCAGGTGTAACTCTGACTTCTTGATCACCCTTTGCAGTATGATACAATGAGCGCGCAAAGGGTTAATAGTTATTGAGATATTCAACGTCAAAGTGTTCTTTGCCTTGGAAATATACATGTAGCAGTATCTGAAGTATTCTGAAAGCAGTGTCCTAAATTCCAGTATCTGTAGAATATTAGAAATATAATTGCTAAGATATATGTATTCCCAATGGTCCTGTTAAAGCGAAGGGCCCCTAAGGTATCGAGAATGGGAAGGATCCTAACCAAAACTCTTTAAAGATTTATTAGGAACGCGAAGGGCTTATAATTTGAAGAGAGTGCCAAGACCGGTATACCCAAGGAATGATTACAAATGCGACTGCAAAGAGCCGATACTTTCGGAAGAATTCCGCAGACTGCAACGGGAACATATCTGACATATCCAGCGGCTGCAAACGCGCACCGACGCTAGAGACGTCTTCAAGGAAGTTCTCGTTTTCGCCGGCGAATTCTTTCAAAGAAGAGACTCTTGATCGCCTCTCTTTGCGTTCCGCGATCGTGACACTGATCCGACTAGCACGCCCGTCGACGGGTCCTGGCGGAGATGAAAGCGGAGCGTTCGCTGGCAAACGTTTTTTATCCATTTGTCGTTTGATCGTTAAAAGGATCGGTTTGCGAGCGACCAGGAGGATCCTTTGCGGCCGTAATATTCGTTTTTATGTTCCCGGGACGTTTTGTAAGCACGTTTCATTAAATTCGACGGCGGGGCTGCGTCTCGAACCAATCTGATTACACGTCCTCCGCGGTTTATTGTCCGCTCGGGAAAGAAAGCTCGAGCCGCGGATACGTTTCAGCGGCGCGATTCGAGCGTCATTTCATTCGCGAACCTCGCGGTGCCGTTAAGTAGATTGGATGGCTCGCTCGTTCTTACCTTTACTTTTTCGCCAGGGAACCACCGCGAATACGACCGCATGCGGATACGCCGGAAGTGCAACGCGCAAGATTCGCCTAATCATCGCGCACACGTTTATCGAGCGAATCCTCAGCGACGATTCATTTTCCCGGCGATATTACATCGTCCATTCGTTGTTTACGTCTCGGCGGTTTTAATAAGCAAACACTTAACCACCAGCGATTTATGAGAATCCCCAAGCGAGATGCGTATGCCAGCGCTGGCAACCCCTCGCCCACCTTCGGGCATCCGATTTGATGAAAAACTCTCGAAAGCGGCAGCTCCCGATCTGTAAATCGAACATAATTACATGTTCATGATTACAAATTCGCTTTCGCTTCTTTGTACCATTGGCATCCGCCCTTTGACATCCGGATACCTCAAATAATTATAGAATAGTCGTTGATATTTGGGAGTGGGTCAGAATCGTAGTGGCGTTAAGTCACATTTTCGAGAATGTTGACTTATCTCTGAAAATAATAACAATGACAATAATATTTATTTGATAAAGGGGAGAATGCACTTGTGTTACAACAATATGACAATATGTCGCACGAGCGGCATATTAAAAAGAAGTGATATCTGTTCTAGACGCCAACATTTCCTTTTTTCTTAATAAATAAATAAATAGTATTAACAAGCAGAAAGTAATAAATAAATCCTTTTTTCTTGTCAATAATGAACAGATGCGTCGTCGTGGCCCTCTACCACGAGAGATCTCGTGTTTGATAGTGAACCTGAATCTAAATTATCTGAACAATAAATTCGGACGGTAAACGGTACACGTTTTAATAAACTATAACACTCGTTCTTTCTCAGAATCGGTTAAATATGGTTCACTATGATTCTAACTCACTGATATGTGTGTACCGAATTTTCGGCGACGATCATAATTGGCGGGCCGGTGACGTTGGCATGTACCGATCTCGTGCGTCGAACGATCAAGTCGAATCGCGACATACGCGGGAAGGATCGAGGATACGAAGATCCACGGATAGACAGAGGCAGAGGCCGGGCTGGTGGGGTTGGACCTCGTGGATTGGCTGCGCGATAGAACGGGCTGCAACCGAGGGGATGCGTCGGAGGGTGCGTTCTCAGGTATATATACTCCTGTCGGTGGCACAAGCGGCCGATCCGAACTTCAAATCGTGCTTCAGGATAGAGGAAAGGTTTTTCGACGCAGAACCGGATATATATATATATTTATACATATATCGTCGCATCACGAACCCTGATCACGAATCAGCCCATCGACCGGTGAGTTGCTCCGAAACAAAAACCACTTCGGGCGATTCCCGCGATTTCGTCTTTCGTGTACCGAGGAATTGTGCTGTGGGACTGTTCTCGTTGTGATATCTGTGTTTGCACCTGGTTTCACAAACGATTTAAATGACGTACAGAAGTGCAGGCTCGTTCACCGGTCTTCTGGTCGATCGATGCAACCGCGATGCAGAGGAAAGAAGTATTGTCCTTTTTCGATGGCACCTTTCGTTCTCTTGGAATATTGACGAACGTATCCGCGAGGTGGTAACACTGGAGCAGAATGAGTTAATCGTTTTCATCACAGTTTTCCAACGGTTCGTAAGCTGCAGTGATCTGTTCCGATCTCTTCTAGCACATGTGACTGTAACAACCGCGGGGCTCGGGTCCATTTGGAGCCGGAGTTCAAAATATTGTTGCTTGACGATCTAGTTTCTGACAGTTCATTTAGATTTTTGTATGTTTCATTCAGGTCTGTAGAAACAGTGTAACCTCTTGGCGAACTTTGATGAATTTTGACGAATCTGAATCGAGATGGAGATTCTTGTAATAGACTGTTCGGTACGAATATTTTTCCGTTCCTTTAACACGGAATAAAATTCTATTCTTTTCTCATCGACATCTAACACCAAACTTGGCGAGCACTTAAAGCGATTGACATAATCATTGACATCATTATATGTCATAGAATGTAATCTACAAAAGAAAGAAATTACCATGGAAGTGTTAATAGCCTGATCATTCGCGACACGGATTTCGTGCAAATATCCTTAACAATCGAAAACTTTACACGTTTCCTGAAAGCTAAGATCGCAGAACATGGTGCTTTTATTTATTCCCACGTCCAGAAAGCTTGCGGAGAGCAGTAAACGCGCGTAAAAAGGGAGAACTCTAATTTCTACAGCTCCACGAATCCGTTTTATCCGATTGCATTTCGCGGTTGCTTTGTGTAAACGCCGTTCGATCTTTTAAAGAAACATCCGCGAATAAATAATCTGTATCAGTCGAGACTATGGTTCGATGCGTCCTCTGCGAAGATTAGAATACTCTCGTCGTATTGTTCTCGCCCGAATCGTCGTTAGCATTGCGAACACCAACGATTTATATTTTCGATAAATCGTCACGACCAACGGGTTAACTACCACTGACATTTACGAGGAAAGAGCTGCGGATCCCCAAGGAGGCAGAACACGTTCGGCGCGGCGTGTCCTGCGGAAATATTCGTCCTCTTCTTCGGCCAGCTTTGTCCCCGGATTATCGAGCTTGCGCGAGTGCCTTTTATGCGGCAGTTTTCACCTAACGATGTGTATTCTTTTAGTCCACTGGTCGCTATAAAACGGCAGAACGGTCGATTCGGTATGTTTCCCGGCTTTATGAAAACCGGCCGTGGAACGAGATAATCCGGCGTCGGGATGCAGGGATATCGTCTCGCGAACGACCCATAAAGACGCTAAATCGGGACGTGCTTCATAAAATTTGGTCATTGGACGGGCTTCTTAAAGAAGGAACGATTAACAGTTAGTTTTCGATTCCAGCAATTTCCTATTTTCTCGTTCGCTTAATCCGAGGATAGAAATGAGGTCTATTTCGCCTAAATTTTAATTTTTTAGCCTACAGTTTAAACCGTTAGCTGTTTAAAGATTTGAGGCTTTCGCGTCGTCGTACAGTTCTTACTATTGAGAGTTTCGGCTCTACACTGTGTCCTTTTGGAAGAATTGTCGTCAGGTTTGCAGCTGACTTCATCACAGGATCAAAGACAAGAGGATATTGAATAGCATATTGTGTCCTGTTGTCTTTTGGCGTTCTGCAACAGCTGAACATAAATTCTGCTGTAGCAGATCACCAACAGCCAACAAGTCAAAATATCCTCTTCAACTTCAGTCGTAGCTAGAACAAGAGCACGCTTTCCCAAGAAATTCAGGGAAACGTTGGAGATGATGAGAACATCCCAACAACATCGATAGGGATACAGGCTACCATCTGTATTGCACGGTCGCCTTGAAAGCTCGAAAAGCATCCATCCCGCTAGAATTAATCCAAGGTTGGCCAAATCCTCGTCTTTGACGAATCCAGTTTTTCGGAGGTCGTCGATCGGTTTACAACGGGATTCATTCGCAACGTCGGCCGGAGATTTTATAAGCGAATCGCGTTCGAGTATCTCGATTCATGATCGCTGGCTATCGATACCGAACTCGCAACGTATCGTGTCCTCTGCTAAGCGAGTTTCATCATCGGCGAAGTTGTAGTGCAGGATGCAACAGGTAACTCGATTTCCAGTTCGGTTTCCGGTCAACTTCGACTGGTCGGTTATCACCGGTTATTCCCGGCCCTTTTCTGGCCGGTGCAACGCTCCTATCGGGTGCAATTGTGCGACTGTTGCCGATAGGAGGTCTGCGAATCGCGGTACACGAACGGCAACGACGATCGCGTAGCCCCGAGCCCCGGGAATGAATATTCGCCTATTGTCCTCGGTGCTTCGTGTCGATCTCGTGTTGCGATTGTATTTTACAGCGGAGAAGCATCCCGATGCGAAGAATGCAATCGTGCCGGAACACGATCTATCTGTTGGTCGTCCTCGTCGTTCTGGGGACAGCGATGGTTCACTGTGAACCGGAACCGACGCGAAGAGTCGACTTCAGGAACTGGGACGCCCTGCAGAAGTACCTGGACTATTATTCGATAAACGGGAAACCCAGGTAACGATGCAATACCTGGAAATTTCGAAGCAAATTCCGGGCCAAAATACCCTTCGGTTTTCACTCGTCTACCCATCCGCCGATACCTGCCAGCAACTCGACGCATATTTTGTGAAAATTGTACCTGCATCTGCGTTTTCTGCTCGGTGCATTAGACTTTCTGCAATAGGCCATCTTGCAGTCTCCTCGAATCATTCAATGCATACATGTTCTTTCAATGTTCCTTGCTTTTCTTCTACCTTCACTGATGCCTATTTTCTGGTCTTGGTCACTCCGTTCTCGTACGAATACAACTGTTTACTCCCGTATCATCTACTCAGCTCATTCAACTTTCTGCAATAGTTGCAAGTAGTTCATTCAACACATTCATCTTCCTCCACTGGAATGTCCTCCTTCCTTCTAGTTGCTTACGCCACCATTTTCTTATGCCGGGCTCTCTGCATTTGCTATCGTCTATTCATGCAGCCACACTCTCTAGCAAGTGCATTCAACTTTATGCAACAGTGTACCTCTCTCCCTCTCCCATTCGACTCGCACGCTCTCCTCCACTTACTAGTACATCGTGTTCTCTTCAGTTTCATACACATCTGCCTACCGAGGTGTCCGCTGTTTACTCGAACGTTCATCTTTCTCAAGTAACACGGTTTTCTGTGGTTTCCTTCTCACTTATTCTTTCATTTGTTCGAACACTTAGCCCTATTTACTTATACATCCCACCGGCTAGTCACGATTTTACTCACAACCTTTCGGTCTACTCGCGTGTCCTTCAGCTGCTTCTAGCGCTACTTTCGATTCTATCGAAATCAGTCCTCTACTTTGCTACACAAGTTTCCCAAAATTCTGTGGATCTGTGGATCTCCGCCTCTGGCAAGATATATTCGATCAGACCTGCCACTGTATCTGTTCACATGTAGATTCGGAGAATTCGTTGCATTCCTGACATTATAAAAATATTTCTACGACAAACAATTCCTGACAATATTAAAGTGTATCTACGAGAAGTTTGAACATGCGCTTCTTTATCCAAGCTCATATTATTAGGTCGAATCATAAATAACTTCCGATGCAGCTAGGCACAATCTTTTGTTCGTATCTATCTGCTATGAGTCACCGGGACAAACAAGCTCTGGCTTTCACTAAATAGATAAAGATTCCAAATAAATAAAATAAGAAGACGAAAAAGTAAATAATAAGAAACAAAATAAATGTCTAATCAGAAAACTGAATTATTTACGACTCGACCTAATCTAATAGAAATCGTACGAATTTGGAATAAATCTAATTTTATCGGTGTTAAAAGTTTATGATATTACGGGAAACTATAATGTTACATTCGGTAGAATCTATGGAATCGTTCGCAAACTATTCCACTCGAAGTGGAAGGAATTCTTAAATTGAAAAATTCGACATTCTATATAAATAGAACCAAAGGGGACCATAGGATTCGCGTTTAGCAGAGAAATTCCTTGAATGGTGACATTCGCGATCTCGATCGAATGTTTCCTGCCAGTGGTTTTAGAACGAGCGACGCGATCGAGCTAGATGTAGACCAGTCACTATCGCTGAATGACGTTTCGTAACGTGCGTGTAATGAAACTGGTTAGGTACGGCAAAAGGGGAGAGATTCCATCCGCCATCTCGCCGATGGGTCGGAACTGGGACACAATGAAGTCGATGCTGGACGTCTCTCAGGAGCAGCAACATCAGCCGCCGAGATTTGACCAAGGGAGGCTGGCCAGCCGTCAGTTTCTCCGCGAGCTCGAAAGCTCCAGCGACGGGAAGCACCCTTCGAGGCCGTACCACATGCTGGACATAGTCGAGAATTACTACGACGTTGTGCAATAAAACGTTTCGATGTGTTCTCCTTTCCTTTCCGCGACCATCTCTCTTCGCACTTTCCCCCGTGGTAATTCAAGAAGATAGTCAGTAACGATATCAGAGTGTTATCTGCGCGTAATAAAATCAGTTGATCTGATACAGCCAATTGCAATCTTTGATCACAAGGCGACTCGCGAGGCGACACAGTTGTTTCTTTGGATATTCAGATTCGCGCCGGTATGTCTAAAAAATTCGGTTGAATGACACTCAACGATTTAAAAAAGCCCTGGCATTGTAGCATCTTTGACCTTGCCGCATCGCATCCACGCGATTGCGATCTGAGAACACGGTGCTATAGTAGTCAAGTGTTTCGTGGTATTTGTGGAGACAGACTTCTCGGGCGACCACGAGAGAGATTGCTCTGCGGAACAGAAGTTAATTGGAGGACAAAGTCGAACAGCGTTCAGGCTGCGATATGCTCGAATCTCTCTTCGGAATCGGCTGAGAGAGTTCGTCAGGTCGCGTGAGGATGTCGAAGGTCGGCGTTACAATTGGAAATAAAATAATGCTCCAGGCGATTTCGTGTTGTACAGTTTATTGCTGCGCAATCTGAATAATCGGTTCAAGACCCGTTTGCATTGTCCGCATACATTGCAAGTCATACAGAGAAATGGGGCGGGGTTATTGCGAAAACACTTGTACAAAAATAGTCGAGAAATAAAAGTAGCAACTGCTATATAGTTAACGGCTACACATTTCGTAATCAGCATCCGATGGTTTACACGATTTTACGTTGATAAGGCGGTCGCACACGCATAACGCAGGATTGAAAACCTGGTTTTCTAGACAGCACGAGGTCGTTCCATCGGGGTTGTAGTACATCTTGCAGTTCGTTTCATGAGGCGACCTACTGTCCGATGGACATTTTCCAGGATTGGGCCTGGGTTGTGTGGGTGTGGGCGTGGGTATTGTGGGCGTAGGTGTGGGTATCGTGGGTGTGGGTGTGGGCGTGGGTATTGTGGGCGTAGGTGTGGGTATCGTGGGTGTGGGTGTGGGCGTGGGTATTGTGGGCGTAGGTGTGGGTATCGTGGGTGTGGGTATTGTGGGCGTGGGTGTGGGTATTGTGGGCGTAGGAGTGGGTATTGTGGGTGTGGGTGTGGGTTTTGTGGGCGTGGGGGTGGGTATCGTGGGTGTGGGTGTGGGTATTGTGGGTATTGTGCCTGGATCACCACCACCACAATTGGTAACGTTCCACGGCCAATCGCAGACCTGCAGCTCCTGATTGTAGCATAATTCAAACGGAGGATCCCAGTTTTCCGGACACTTCATCAAGTACTTCTTTCCAAGAAAGCATTTGTAAAACCAATGGGGATTCGTCTCGTGTGGAATGTGAGTCGTTTCCAATTTGTTCCACTCTATCGGGCACTCCCTCAAAATCTCCTTCACTTCAGAGAGGGCGATCACTGTCGCAACGACCACTAAAATGCACGTGCCTGAAACGTAAGAAATGTAGGATCAACATTTAGAAAATGTGCCTGAGCGTGCGTTCTTCCAAAATACCCTAAATGCGTCTAAATCCCGCGCATTCTGCGATATTCCACATTATGGGGTAGTGGAGCTGGTCACTATATCGAAGTGACCTATTGCTGTGCTTTTGGCTTGTTTTCGGGCCTCGTTCACTTCATATTTATCGAATAAGATATATTAAATTTTTGTATTGAAAAATGAAGAAAATAGCAGAATGAAAAGTTTGATATGACTTATTCGATAAATATGAAGTTAATTATGACCGAAAACAAACACAGCAATTGATCGCAGTAACCGGCTCCACTGACCTAATATAATAAATCGTTGCGTACCGAATGAGTCGACGTTAAGCGTTTATTAAAAATCGGACGAATACTAGGTTGAATTTCGGAACGATCCCGTGCACATTATGTCCTACAGACTCGGTGGTTCGATGAAGTCGAACAGATGAATGGAAAATGCTTGTAGTGACGACACCGATTACACTGCGAATATTACACTCACGTTTCATTGCGAACGACGAGAGAGCTTCGATGAGTTTCGAGAAATGATGTACGCANACTGCTATATAGTTAACGGCTACACATTTCGTAATCAGCATCCGATGGTTTACACGATTTTACGTTGATAAGGCGGTCGCACACGCATAACGCAGGATTGAAAACCTGGTTTTCTAGACAGCACGAGGTCGTTCCATCGGGGTTGTAGTACATCTTGCAGTTCGTTTCATGAGGCGACCTACTGTCCGATGGACATTTTCCAGGATTGGGCCTGGGTTGTGTGGGTGTGGGCGTGGGTATTGTGGGCGTAGGTGTGGGTATCGTGGGTGTGGGTGTGGGCGTGGGTATTGTGGGCGTAGGTGTGGGTATCGTGGGTGTGGGTATTGTGGGCGTGGGTGTGGGTATTGTGGGCGTAGGAGTGGGTATTGTGGGTGTGGGTGTGGGTTTTGTGGGCGTGGGGGTGGGTATCGTGGGTGTGGGTGTGGGTATTGTGGGTATTGTGCCTGGATCACCACCACCACAATTGGTAACGTTCCACGGCCAATCGCAGACCTGCAGCTCCTGATTGTAGCATAATTCAAACGGAGGATCCCAGTTTTCCGGACACTTCATCAAGTACTTCTTTCCAAGAAAGCATTTGTAAAACCAATGGGGATTCGTCTCGTGTGGAATGTGAGTCGTTTCCAATTTGTTCCACTCTATCGGGCACTCCCTCAAAATCTCCTTCACTTCAGAGAGGGCGATCACTGTCGCAACGACCACTAAAATGCACGTGCCTGAAACGTAAGAAATGTAGGATCAACATTTAGAAAATGTGCCTGAGCGTGCGTTCTTCCAAAATACCCTAAATGCGTCTAAATCCCGCGCATTCTGCGATATTCCACATTATGGGGTAGTGGAGCTGGTCACTATATCGAAGTGACCTATTGCTGTGCTTTTGGCTTGTTTTCGGGCCTCGTTCACTTCATATTTATCGAATAAGATATATTAAATTTTTGTATTGAAAAATGAAGAAAATAGCAGAATGAAAAGTTTGATATGACTTATTCGATAAATATGAAGTTAATTATGACCGAAAACAAACACAGCAATTGATCGCAGTAACCGGCTCCACTGACCTAATATAATAAATCGTTGCGTACCGAATGAGTCGACGTTAAGCGTTTATTAAAAATCGGACGAATACTAGGTTGAATTTCGGAACGATCCCGTGCACATTATGTCCTACAGACTCGGTGGTTCGATGAAGTCGAACAGATGAATGGAAAATGCTTGTAGTGACGACACCGATTACACTGCGAATATTACACTCACGTTTCATTGCGAACGACGAGAGAGCTTCGATGAGTTTCGAGAAATGATGTACGCAAGTAGTACTTGCTCGGCGAACGAATAAAGTTCGCTTACATCTGAACCACTTTTATATGCGTCAACAGATCTTATCAGCCCTATTTCTTGACCACTAAGATTCGACCGCGATAACGCGTTTTTAGGACGACAATTGGGCCAACCGCATCATATTCGGATAATTCTTTTACCTTGTAAACTATTGGAAAACAGATTCCGTTATCGGTTTCGGAATGTGGGTCAACGTTTTGTTTTCAATCGATTATAACGATGATGTAGAAATTTCTGTTGGTTTTTAGACGAAGGATGAAATTTTGTACAGGCCTCCGTTCGTTTTCGATACAGTACGGTCTATCCAGTGAACGAACGCAGAAGCTGCACGTTCGATGAAGTGATCATTCAAGGATCGTTATTTGATTCCCTGTATGATCTTACGAGTTCAGACGTTCCTGAACAGAAATCTAGAATTTCTTGACAGTTGTGGCTTCTTCTGAAAGTATTATTCTATAAGATTCCGTGAAAAGTACGTGAAACGACCAATGAATGAACAATAATTTTAGATGAATCGACATTGAATGATGCTCAAATACAACTGTGACTGATTTGACGTAGCAATCTTTAAAGTGTTAATCAATCCGAATGAAGCGTGAAACAAATTACACGCCAAAGAAAATGACTTCTGCAAGAGATCTGTAAGTATATAATAGTATTACTGCGATAAACGATAAACGTTACTTTTTCTTGTAATACAGAAAATGTTCATTCATCGAGGGGTTTATCCATTTATTAGACAGATTATCCGATTTCTGCTGACTTTGTCGTCCAGTTGCTGCAAACACCTGACCGAATCGATCCTCTTTGTTTATATTCGCTGCAACTGTGCACTCTCGCATACAACCAAACAAATACGTTCCTCGCCTGTGAATCGTGAATCAACAAAGAGATCGATAATTATTTTACAGACAGTAACTACGGATCACGCTCATTTATCTCTTCAGCCTATACGTACCATTATCTTTGTTATTTCGAAAATGTAACGCTATTGAATTCGATTAATCTTTTGTCGAAAATTATCAACCCGGTTATCTGATTTCGTAATGCCATCACGGCCATATTTCCCGATAGCGTTCGTCAAATTTTTTCGGGCCGGGTGATCAAAACAACGTGCTCAAGGGTTTTGTTTCGTGTAGTTTTATTAATTACAACCACTTTTGATGGTCCGGGTACATTGAATGTATGTGGACAAGGTAAGAAACGTTCGAAAGGATCTTAGGCAAATGTATCAGGCATCTGCATTATTAGTACAATAATCTTAAAACGATCATTGATCTTCGTCAAACGAAGCGAGTTGTGCGACTCAACAGGACTATGCAAAGACCAGCGTAACTGACTTCGCCCTTTACCGATCACGATTAACTCGTAACATCCTACCAATCGCACTCTTTCTTGTCCTCTATCGACGGTCTGCAGTTCTTCACGTTCTTTGCCAGATCGCATTCGCAAATATCGCTGTTGAAAACATGCCTTTCCAAGCAGCAGACCTCGTTGTTGTCGCTATCGTAATACTTCAGACAGTTTTTGTGAGGTCTTTTACCATTCCATGGGCAATTTCCTGGTATGATAGTCGGCCCGGGAACCGTTGTTGATGATGGTAGGAAGGGATTGCAGCATAACACTTTCGCGCCCCAATTGCAGATCTTCAGTATGTCGTCGTAACATAATTTCGACGAGCCATGGGTCGGACACGATTCCTCATATTTGCCCGTCTTGGTGCATCGATAATACAAAGTACAATCATTCTCGTGAGGGATGAACTGAACTCCGTTCGATCCAAGATCCGACGGACAGCTCGGCTTGATCTGGTCAGCCGCTGAGACAACAATCGCCGAGGCAACAATTGTCGAGGCAAAAATCGCCAACAAGTAGAACCCTGGAATAACGAAACCATTTGCTGATTTTACTTTATCGCAGGGAACCACCAACGTCTAGATCCTAGACAGACTCCGGGGCAACGAGACCACTCCCCCTCGGTGAAGACCACGCCCGCTCCGCGCGGACTCGTCAAATGCTACTATTATATTAGTCGGATCATTCGAAACTGTTTTATTGGTACTTCCGTACAGTAATTTGCCCGCAAAAATCACGCAACCATGAATAACCAACGATAATTAGAAGGATAATCTTAATCTATTGATCGGAGAAGACGAATTCACGCATGTGCATCGCAAGGAAGAAAGAAACATAATGACCATATTAACAATTGTTTTCTATAGTATAAATTATTTCCCTTTGTATCCACTCTTCGTCCTCGGAGGTTCAGAAAAATGTGTACAATGTACGCTAACGATGCAAATGTGTGAACTCGTCATGGAACTCAAGAACTCTCTAGCTTTGTATTAACCCGAGAAAGATAACCTACGTCGCAGAGGCGCCTGCGAAGACTGTTGATTTTTGTTAATTTTTCATAGAGGTCTAGTGATTTAAGTTTAAAATTACTTAAAATATAAAAAAATATAATATAAATGCATTTTATTTTTACAATAATGCCAAACCTTTAAAATGACTAGATTAACTTAAATAAATATCCATTGTTAGTATAAAATTGACGCCTTAGAAAAGCATGCGCCTCTGAAGCGTATGGTTATCTTTTACGTACGTTGTCATATGGTTATCTTTCTAGGGTTAATTAA